GAGAGAGAGAGAGAGAGAGAGAGAGAGAGAGAGAGAGAGAGAGTGGGGGGTGTAGTAAAAGGAAGGAGGGGGCATGTTAAACATCGACGTGTTTTGCTTTCTTCATGCATGAAACAGAGCTATCCATAATTCATTGCCTTCATCTCATAATTGTTGTAAAGTTAAAATGACATTCCTTGCTTTACAAAGTTCCTTGATACATGTACTCAGTGACATTCAGAAAAAAAAAACCAAAGTGATGATTTGTCCTGTCATTCATGAGGCTGGAGCAACTGATACAGAGAAAATCAGCTGCCAGGCTAATCAGAAATCATCTTTTCCCCAACTTGTCACAGCTACATTGTCAAGACAGCTCCCTTCTTTGGATGAACATTGCTTTCTCACACTCTGAGCAAATGTATCCAAAGCCCCATTTCCACTGCTTCTACTTCTTGGCAGTGTTGGGACAGTTTGGGAAGATGAGGGTACAGATCCTGACCCTTTGCCCCCCTCCCTTCCTGCCCAACCCCACTCTGCTTCTCCTGCCAGCCTGTTTGGATAGTTTCCATATGTAACAAACAGACTTTTAGTGTTTACACCATTATACCCTTCTTAAACACAGATGGTGAGAAGTCCCTAAAAAACAAAACAAAACATTTTTTACTTAAAAAAAAAAAACCAAAACACAGCAAAGCCAGGCACCGGTGGCTCACGCCTGTAATCCTAGCTACTCAGGAGGCTGAGATCTGAGGATTGTGATTCAAAGCTAGCCTGGGCAGGAAACTCTGTGAACTCTTATCTCCAATAAACCACTAGAAAACTGGAAGTGGCACTGTGGCTCAAGTAGTAGAGCACTTGCCTTGAGCTGAAGTGCACAGGGACAGCACTTAAGCCCCATGGCTGAAAACAAACAAACAAACATATCAACCAAATAACTGAATCTTTTGTAGAAAAGTACACGTTGACATTGTTATTTATTTATTTATTTATCGTCAGTCATGGGCCTGAACTCTGGGCCTTTAGATGTTTCTAATGCTTTTTTATTTTTTGGTCATGGGCCTTAACACTGGGCCTGGGCACTGTCCCTCAGCTCTTCAGTTCAAGGCTAGCTCTCTACTACTTGAGACACAGCACCACTTCTGGCTTTTTCTGCTTATGTGGTGCTAAGGAATTGAGCCCAGGGCCTCATGCATGCAAGGCAAACACTCTACCACTGAGCCACCTTCCCAGCCACATTGGGATTTATCTATATCTATTATACCTACTATTATATATTGACCTACTATTTTATATATATATATTATATTATACCTACTATTATATATTGACTATTATATATACTAATATATATAATATATATATCATATATACTATTATATATTATATATATACCTATTATATATATTATATAGAATATATATATTATACCTACTAATATATATTGATATATTTATCTATATCTATTATACCTACTATTATATATATTATATTATACCTACTATTATATATTATATATATTTGTTCATAAAATTGAAC